GTCTCTGTCTGTGTGAGTCTCTGTCTGTGTGAGTCTGTGTCTATGTGTGTCTATGTGAGTCTGTGTCTGTGTGAGTCTGTGTCTGTGTGGGTCTCTGTGTGAGTCTGTGTCTGTGTGAGTCTGTGTCTGTGTGAGTCTGTGTCTGTGTCTATGTGTGTCTATGTGAGTCTGTGTCTGTGTGAGTCTGTGTCTGTGTGAGTCTCTGTCTGTGTGAGTCTGTGTCTATGTGTGTCTATGTGAGTCTGTGTCTGTGTGAGTCTCTGTCTGTGTGAGTCTCTGTCTGTGTGAGTCTGTGTCTATGTGTGTCTATGTGAGTCTGTGTCTGTGTGAGTCTGTGTCTGTGTGAGTCTCTGTCTGTGTGAGTCTGTGTCTATGTGTGTCTCTGTCTGTGTGAGTCTGTGTCTGTGTGAGTCTCTGTCTGTGTGAGTCTCTGTCTGTGTGAGTCTGTGTCTGTGTGAGTCTCTGTCTGTGTGAGTCTCTGTCTGTGTGAGTCTGTGTCTGTGTGAGTCTCTGTCTGTGTGAGTCTGTGTCTGTGTGAGTCTCTGTCTGTGTGAGTCTCTGTCTGTGTGAGTCTCTGTCTGTGTGAGTCTGTGTCTATGTGTGTCTATGTGAGTCTGTGTCTGTGTGAGTCTGTGTCTGTGTGAGTCTCTGTCTGTGTGAGTCTCTGTCTGTGTGAGTCTGTGTCTATGTGTGTCTATGTGAGTCTGTGTCTATGTGAGTCTGTGTCTGTGTGAGTATGTGTCTGTGTGAGTCTCTGTCTGTGTGAGTCTCTGTCTGTGTGAGTCTGTGTCTATGTGTGTCTATGTGAGTCTGTGTCTATGTGAGTCTGTGTCTGTGTGAGTCTGTGTCTGTGTGAGTCTGTGTCTATGTGTGTCTATGTGAGTCTGTGTCTATGTGAGTCTGTGTCTGTGTGAGTCTGTGTCTGTGTGAGTCTGTGTCTGTGTGAGTCTGTGTCTATGTGTGTCTATGTGAGTCTGTGTCTATGTGAGTCTGTGTCTGTGTGAGTCTGTGTCTGTGTGAGTCTGTGTCTATGTGTGTCTATGTGAGTCTGTGTCTATGTGAGTCTCTGTCTGTGTGAGTCTGTGTCTGTGTGAATCTGTGTCTGTGTGAGTCTCTGTCTGTGTGAGTCTGTGTCTGTGTGAGTCTCTGTCTGTGTGAGTCTCTGTCTGTGTGAGTCTGTGTCTATGTGAGTCTGTGTCTGTGTGAGTCTGTGTCTGTGTGAGTCTGTGTCTGTGTGAGTCTCTGTCTATGTGAGTCTGTGTCTGTGTGAGTCTGTGTCTGTGTGAGTCTGTGTCTATGTGTGTCTATGTGAGTCTGTGTCTGTGTGAGTCTCTGTCTGTGTGAGTCTGTGTCTATGTGTGTCTGTGTCTGTGTGAATCTGTGTCTATGTGTGTCTATGTGAGTCTGTGTCTGTGTGAGTCTGTGTCTGTGTGAGTCTCTGTCTGTGTGAGTCTGTGTCTATGTGAGTCTGCGAACCCGGCCTGCTAGGTCGTACCTGGCGTAGCGGTGTGTAGTAATCATCGCCACCGGGGAGACAAAGGCGGCCGGGCGTGCTGCTGGCCACCCATCCTCTTCGTGTGCCGTGCCGGCCTTCAAAGATGTTCGCTGAAGAGCACCTGCCCCTGCAGTCTGTTGAGGCTATACGGGGGATCTTTATGTTGTTTGGGTCTTCCGGTAAAGTCTTTTGTGCGTGTGGGTTCGTGATTGTTGTAGTGCCATCACAGTTGGATCTGAGTTGATCAATCGCCTTTCACTCATTGCAGCGATCAATCATCGTCAGCGATCAATCATCGTCAGCGGCGCACTTGAAGCCGTGTGGTGAGAGCATCGTGGTCCCGAAACTCATCATCGTCATCTTAAATCATCATCATCTTAAATCGCCATCGCATGCTCGAGCAGCAACAATTTGAGTTGAATTGATTGTTGGAAACTTCACGCTCGTCACCGTCACCCGTTTGCCATCACCATCTTCTGTCGGTTGTTGTAACCAGCGCAGTTGAGCTTTAATTTAGGATCCTCATCATCATCATCATCCAATGTTCCAGACCGCACCATTCATCAGCCGGAGTCGACCGATGATGGTCGGGTTGCTCCAGTAGCACAGGCCGAGCCTGAATTGTGCGTTCAAATCTTTCTAAGTCACCGTTGTCATCATCATCATCCTTAAAATGCAATTGCTTAAGTATGAACATTATGCTGGATTGATGAGAATGTTTCAAACTTCCTCAACGTCATCATCCAGACATCACCATGCAGGTGCCTCGTGATAGGTGTCTCTGTTTGGTGTTTGAACATCTTTAACGCCTGTGTTTCTTGCCGGGAGGGGGAAAAAAAAGCAGATTCCATTTCATCACATCGTCATCGGTTTGCTCAAGCGGCGCAGATGAGCTGAGACGATCAGTGTTCCAAACTTCGTAATCAGCATCGGCATCAATCCAGTTCCCATCGTCATTTGTCTAACCAACAGAGTTGAGCTCAACTCATAACTATCATTGTTATCGAATCATCAGTTGTTTCAGCAGCACGTATGAGCTGAATCATCATCGTCGTCATGGCCATCTGCACGGTTCGTGGTTTGTGTGATTCGCACGGTTGATTACGTACGGTGCGAAAGAAGTTCATCGTACATACGCGTGTGCATATCGTGAGAAGCTTTGCAAGTTAACATTGCAGCGATTTAAAATTGTCGGGCGTTGACTCAGCCCATCATCATCATCATTCCTCCAGGGCCGATAAAATACTGCAATAAGCATCACTTAGTGATGCGGGGGGGTGGGAAAGTAAAGAGTGGTTGTGTTGTTCTGTGGATAGCCTGGTACCCGTCACGGGAACGTGGAATTCCCACCACTGGCTAAGGGCTCTTCATTGCTAATGAGCGCCTCTCCAATACTCGCTTGGGCATTTATAAGCTGATATTTGTATCTCACTGTGCAGTGCTGTACTGCATTATGGTGCCGCGTCATATGTACGCTCCCCGCCTTCACACCAGTGTGGTGAAGTATGGTCGGGTAACCCCCACGACTCGTCGGGCGCTGGGAGGCCCTCATCCAGCAGTGGATTGACAAAGGTGCTCGGCATGATTGCGGATTGAGCACGATTCTTATAAGATGACATGGAGTCAACATCAAGATCACCCGAGTTAAACATCATCGTGTCCATGTTTAGATGTTTTTTGTTGTGCTCGGCGCGCGGTGCGCAGTTCCAATGCCGGTTCCGTGGCAGTTGTGGAAATTCCACGTTGCTATGACGGGGGACTAGGCATGCCACAGAACCACTTTTGACTAAATTCTCACAAGGTGATGCTCTCGTTATGTTATGCTACCCTGGAGAGATGATGAGAGGAGTCGACCGCTGATGCTGATTCGAACTTAACAAAGACAAGAGATCCCCTATGTTGACGTTGTCACACTGTTGGGGCAAGTTCCTGTTGTGCCGTATGCACGTTAAACTTCTTTCGCACCGTACGTAGCCAACCGTGCTAAGCGGAGGTGCGGGGAAAGGACAACAAACCAATCAATCACTTACCTACTCACTTACCTAAATGCTCACCCACTCACCGACTCACCCACCCACTCACCGACTCACCCACTCACTCACCTGCCCACCTAATGTACGTTGAACTTTCGCACCGTACGTAGCCAACCGTGCTAATCGGAGGTGCGGGGGAAGGACAACAAACTGAACACATAAAGCAGTTATAAGGAAATGAGTTTTCAATCTAATTGGTTGTTCCATACATGTAAGCGTGTCATACAGTGGCGAGCTGTTAACTGCCTTTCGTGGTATGCAGGAGGTCGTGGGGTTTGATCCCGGCCCTGACGCCTGCTGTATATTTGCAGTTTGCGTGTCTCTCTCCCCGTGATCGCGTGGATTTTTCTCTGGGTCCTCAGTTTTCCCCCTCCACATTTAGAATCTAAATGAGTTTAGAGTATTTGGCTGTTGTAAATGTACACATGATAAGCCACTTTATTGGGCTATCATTTGTGATAGCCGGTTGCTTCTGAAAGAGAGCTATATAGCATCAGTGGGCCTTACCTGGTCAAATAAAAAAATGCTTTTTAGTTTAGTTTAAATGTGGTTTTTTTGTACATTTTTGTTTAGTTTAAATGTGTTTTTGAAAACTTTTTTTTAACTTTTTAGTTTAGTTGAAATGTGTTTTTTAACTTATTTTTTACGTTTTAGTTTAGTTTAAATGTTTTTTTTTTACTTTTTATTTTAGTTTAAATATTTTATTTTTACTTTTTAGTTGAAATGTGCTCTTTTAAACTTTTTTTTTACTTTTTTGTTTAGTTTAAATGTGTTTTTTTTACTTTTTTTACTTTTTAGTTAAGTTTAAATGTGTTTTTTTGTACATTTTTGTTTAGTTTAAATATGTTTTTGAAAACTTTTTTTTACTTTTTAGTTTAGTTGAAATGTGTTTTTTTTTACTTATTTTTTACGTCTTAGTTTAGTTTAAATGTTTTTTTACTTTTTATTTTAGTTTAAATATTTTATTTTAACTTTTTAGTTGAAATGTGCTCTTTTAAACTTTTTTTTACTTTTTTGTTTAGTTTAAATGTCTTTTTTACTTATTTTTTTTTACTTTTTAGTTAAGTTTAAATGTGTGTTTTTTAGCTTTTTCCTTTTTAGCTTAGTTTAAATGTGTTTTGTTTTACTTTATTTAAACTTTTTAGTTTAGTTCAAATGTGTTTTTAAAACTTTTTTTTTACTTTTTAGTTTAGTTTAAATGTGTTTTTAACTTTTTAGTTTAGTTTAAATGTGTTTTTTTACTTTTTTAAACTTTTTAGTTTAGTTTAAATGTGTTTTTTAAACTTTTTTCTTTTTAGTTCAGTTTAAATGTGTTTTTTTTACTTTTTAGTTTAGTTTAAATGCTTTTTTTTTACTTTTTAGTTTAGTTAAAATGTGTTTTTTTTTACTTTTTAGTTTAGTTAAAATGTGTTTTTTTTACTTATCCCTGAGAGATGCTGCTGTTGTCCCTTCCCTGTTGTTCCTGTTGACAGGGAGGTGCAGTGCACAGAGGAGGTGATCGTGGACGTGAAAGAGAACGTGCTGTCCATCAGAAATGTCAAGGTGCGCCACGCCGCATCTTTCATCACCATCTTTCAACAACGTGATGAGGTCGCACTCGGTGCACACAGAGCACTTGCCGCAAATGAACGGCAGCGCCTCGCCGATCATCACGCGAGCTCCCGGTCAACCTCACAGCAGCGGCGTCTGGCTGGCCATCACCGCATCACGTCCTTGCTGTGGCCGTCCAGAACGCTCTTTTGATATTAGGAAGCCACTGGAGCTATGCACTTTTACATCGTCGAGATGGAAAACTCATTTGTTCAGAACTACTTTTTTTGTTTAGTTTGCTCTCCTTCCTCCGCACCCCGATTAGCACAGTTTGGCTACGTATGGTGCGAGTGAGGTTCAACATACGTACCCCGTCATCACCATCGGTCATGATCTATCCACCGCCGCGTGAAAGGCCTCCCCAAGCTGTCGGCCATCTCGGTCCTGCGATGTGAATAGTTCCCCCATTCCGTATAGTCTTAAACAGACCGCGGGGTTAATGATCCATCCTGCACGAGCTAAATCCATCGCTCCAGCTCCGCGATGGACGCGCTGCCACGCGCAATTCCCTCCTTTGCTCGCCGCTCCGTCTTTAAGTCTCGGCCGCCGACCGAGCCGTTGCCGCTCTCGAGTGGTCCCACGATGCGACAATCCAGCCTGCGCCTGCACACGAGCTGGAATCATCTCGGGCATGTCCCCTCCTTTGGTTGCCGCTCCATCATTTGTCGCGGTGGCGAGGGGGCGCCACGGTGGCTAGGAGATGTTAGCCACCTCGCCTGGTACGCAGGAGGTCGTGCGTTCGATCCCGACCCTGACGCCTGCTGTATATTTGGAGTTTGCGTGTTCTCCCTCCCCGTGGTCGCGTGGATTTTTCTCCGGGTCCTCCGGTTTTTCCCCCCACATTTAGAATCAACAACGTGTGTGTTTAGAGTATTTTGCAGCTATAAAATCCCACGTGATAGGCCACTTTTTTGAGCTGTCATTTGTGGCCAGGTTGCTTCTAAAAAAGAGCTATATAGCTCGGTGGGCCTTACCTGGTAATATTTAAAAAGTTTTATTTCGTCTCGGCCTTTGTGGGGTCATGCGTTGTGCTTGCGCTGCTTCAGCGAGAAGTAAAAAAAAAGTCGCTCAAACGAGCAATGCGGCGGCACTTGAGCCAGTGGTGGAAATTCCACGTTCTCATCGTGAGGACCAGTACATCCATACAGCACCCGCTGTTTCCTATTGGGATAGCACAAAATATAAGCCCTCGATATAAACAAAGCATTTTATTTGATTTTGAAATCTTGAAGATGCTGGGGGTTGTTTTAAGTATTTATTTGGGCACTCGCCGTTGATGATTTGTGTTTGACATTCGGACTTGGAGCAATGGCGCAAAAGTAAACCCCTCGATATGAGCTCAATTTTATTTGAATATGCTTTGAAGAAGGTCCGTTACCCAAAATGTCGCTGATTTTACATACATATATTTTCTTTTAAGGCCACAGTATTATTGACTCGCGTGTTCACATTTTTTTTTGTCAATTGTGCTCGTGCACTACTGACAAAGCAGCAACAGCAGGAGCACCACCAACCAATTTGTGCACCTTTTGTTAGGATTTCAAAATCCGAGATCCCCGCGGTTTATCCTCGTGTTCCTTTGCTCTCCCCGCCCGGCGCGTTGCGATCATCGACGACCGTGGCTCAGACTTCCCGGTGGAGCGCCGTCGGCAATGGTGGGGGCCGAGACCTCGTCACGGAGTTCCCCTTCGACCGCTGCTTCTGGTCCGTGGAACCGGCGGCGCCGGACTTCGCCTCCCAGCACACGGTAACGATCGGCGCGCGAGATCGCCGCGCGTCTCCCGGACCGGGGAAGTTTCCTCTGCTCCCTCTCGCGCCGCTGTACTCGACGCCCTCTTGACGGCGATGTCTCGAGTGCCGTGATGGGTTTACCCTCGCGCCCTTCACCTGCCCATCTCGTCGCGCCCTCCGCAGTTATTCGACAAGATCTCTTCTATGAAGGGACTCTCTCCTCCACGCTGGAGGCAGGAGCTTGACTTGAAACCCGTCTCGCTTGAACAAAGTAAGCCGTTGGTCACGCGGATTGGTCCGGTGGATCATAATGCGGACTTTTTATTTTCAGCGCCACGGTTGGAATGTTAAGCTGTCCAACCAATATTTTGGTTTTCTGAAATCACCGTTCATTTATTGAGGGTAAGCCCTGTGATCCCCTGTGTGCCGAGCATCGTTAATTCTGCCTGTGCACACCTGCGAGCGTTATCCCCTCGTGTATTTTTTGGGACTTGTCCCGGTTCTCCGGTTTCCTCGCGCATACGACAGGCGCCTGCACAAAGGGATTGGCCAAAGATTGCAGTGCACGATCCTCGTCAAAATGGGACTTTAAAAAAAAAATCACCGCAGCTTTTCTGTATAAACACAGGACAGTTTGAACTGCCATGTATATTGTTAAAATGTAGTTTTAAACGTAGAAACGAGGGGGTATGCCGTAAGTTTCTTGGCTGCTGTGTTTCGTTTGCCACGCGCAATGCGGCCACCAAGAGGAGTGAGGATAGGGCCTCTGTCAGTCAAACTCTAAAGCTGTTCCCACGCTAATAGTGCCTTCCACATTCCCACGACAAGGCCCAGTCTCATCTTAAGAGCCACGCGGTTTATTCCCACGCTCTCCTATCGCAGTTGCGTCATATGGAATGAGAATCAGAGTCTTTATTTAGACTGGAGGAGGAATCCGATGAGCTATGAAGCTCTTTACTCACAGATGTCCAGTATGGATGGGACAAAAAGTTACAACAGCAAACGAATACAACGATAGGAGTGCGAAATAGAGAAAACGTTAAGCAGGTCACTAAATATAAACCAAAACATATATTTATTAAGTGAGATTGAGCAAGGTAGCAAAAACAACAACAAAACAGTCCCAGACCACACCAATAACAAAACAGTCCCAGACCACACCAAGACAACTCACTTTTAAAAGTTACGTTGTGTATATGTACAGTTTACATTCGGCGTTCTTTTGCACAACACAACGGTAAATAACAATGGCAGGCAACGAGGAGCGCCTGGACGCGTGCCACGTTCCCACAATGCTCCCCCCGCAGCCCCCCACCTCCCTCCACACGGCCCTTCTCCCGAGCGGCTTCACCTTTGGAATGGTTGTTGGCCATCGCCGTGTAAGACCGGTCGTGGTAAAGTGGTGGCCGAGTTTTCTGACCGATGGCGCCGGCCGGCAGTGCTTCGTGTCGGCGGTCGGCTGGCGGGTGGTGGGAGTCGGGATAACCACCCCTGAGGTGCCACAACAACAACAACAAATACCTGGGACATTGAAGTAAACAATTTGTTTACATTTTTACCCGTTAAGCCCCACTGAGCTACACTGTATACCTCTTTGGTCAGTTCAACGAAGTGGCTCATCACGTGCCCAAATACTCCGGAGGAAAATGCCACGCGACCACGGGGAGAGAGGCACTCAAGCTCCAAATGTACAGGGTTATCGCGGCGAGGAAGAATGAGTAGAACATCTCGACGCCGTCGGATGAGGGCACGACGGTCATTTGACAGTGGGCAAGGCGGCATCATGGCGAGCACGCCCCGTCTCAGTCATCGCTTGATGGTCACCGACTGCACGGCGTCGTTTGGCTGAAGTAAAATAAGGTACACGGGAAACATCGTGGGACGAAGAAGACCATCTGACGATAGATACTGGAAGAGGGGAGGAGCTGCATGTAAACGCGTCGTCCGCGGAGTGCTTTATATTCTTTGCACAACTTGCAACAGCAACAACAACAACAAAACAACCGTTGATCTGTGAATGTCCCGGGAAAAACTCGCAGACAATGCTGGGTAAAGCAGAGACGCAGGTGGCAAGCTCAAGGTCTCCGGAGCCAAGCGCCGGGGCTTCTCTTGATGTTTAGCGTCGTCGGGGAGGGAGGCGTGGGCCGGGAGGGGAGGGGGTGGAAGAGGGACGGGGAGGGGGGGGAGGGAATGCACCGCTGGGATGAGATTTGTGACGGTTGAGTCCCAGAAGGGGACCGGTCCGTGCCCGCGTTTGAAAAGTGCTTTGTGGTGTTGCCGTTGCCGTTGGAGATGGCCATGTGGCCGCGGCGGCTGCCGCTGCTGCGCCGATTCCGGCGTGCAACTGCAAAGCAAAAAAAAAGAATTGACGTCAGTGTTGCTGCGAATTACATTGAGAGACCAAAAACAAAAAAAACTCCGCACGCTCAGAGACGTCGCGCGGACGAGTTGCGATATGTGGAGACGGAGCGATGAAATTAGCTCGTGCCGGATGGATTATTTGTCACATCGTAGTCTGTTAAAGGCTATACCGGATGGGGGGGGGGGGGGGGGACTCTTCACATCGTAGGAGTGAGAGAGATGGCGACAGCTGTTTGGGAGGCCTTCATCCAGCAGTGGATGGTTCATGGCCAATGCTCAGAATCACAATATTTATTTATACTGGAGTAATACGTTGAGCTGTAGGGGGCGGGTAAGAACGTCACGACAACAAACAATACAAAAACACGATAGGAGTGCAAAGTATGGGAAAGGTAAACAAATTACTTAAAAAAACATACAAGTAAAACTGATCTATTTTTTTATCTTACCAGGTAGAGTCCACTGAAGGTATTAACTTATTTTTCAGAAGTGACCTGGCCACAAATGATAGCGCAACAAAGTGGCTTACCACGTGGAAATTAACCTCAATGCATGTTTCTAAATGTGGAGGAAAAAAAAAAACCGTAGGACCCGGAGAGGAAAAGAAAATCCACACGACCACGGGAAGAGAGACACGCAAACTCCAAATGTGATGACGTCGATGGCGTTGCTCGGGATGGCCTGGAGCTTAGTGCCACCTTGCACCGGTCTGCAAGCAGCAGAGGTGCCCGTGTCGGCCCTCTGCGCCGTGCACGAGGTTTGTTGCGAGTGGCAGCTGCTGCTTGCCGCCCTCCGACGTCAACATGAAACTCGACCCTCAACGGGCGACGCGACTGCCCTGCACGTGACCTTGTTGCATCAGTCGAATGTTGCGTAACATCCTCCTCCATTCAACGCTGCAACTTGCTGGCTGTCGCCTGATGAGGCTGGTTGTAATTACCGGCGAAACGTCGGTAGGTTTACTCTCCAAAACTCCGGTGTGCAGAACTCGTAACTATTTGGGCATGCTTTGTCTGCGTGACGAACCTTACTAAATAGCTGTGTCGGGTGGTGGCTGGCTTAAAGGCACAGTTATATTCATGCGATCCAACCCAAAAAAACCCCGTATATTATCGATAACGTTGGTCATGAACGCCTACTTGTTGAACTGCAACTTTGTTGCTTGCTTTACAGTGCAGTTGTAAATTTCTCGAGTCGTTAAACTCAGTCGCAGCCCGTGTCGACGTCTCACAAAATGTATTTTTCACGCGCACTGGCGTTAAGCGGCGAGTCGATTCTCGGTCTTTCGGCTTGCCGCCGAGTCGAACGGCAAATTCTCACGGCCAAGTTTAGCACTCGGATACTCGACGTTCCGCTTGCAACTGCGCCAAGCATCTTCAGGACAGAACCCAGGTAGTAGGAATTCAAATCCAGGAAGTCGGAATAAAATCCAAGAAGCCAGATCATTTCACGGTCGAACCCAACAATCTACTACGAGTCGATCGGATATTGTCTGCAAAAACCTACGCGTTAACTTAGGATTGTGTCTGTGTCCAAGCGCATGCCAGGGCTCTCTGTACACCAAGCCTGTCGTAGACAGCCTTTGGATGTCGCCATGCGTTTACATCTACATAAAAATTTTTTTTTATTTAGAACTGCTTATTGTGTTCCGTTTGTTGTCCTCCCGTAGCACGGTTGGCTACGTATGGTGCGAAAGAAGTTCAACATGCATACACATCCCATTATTCACGAGCGATGTTTATATTTGTTTCTATGTATAACCAGGTTAGGTTGCACAGCCGCAGAGCGGCGGTGTCACCGCTTGGTTCTTGTCGACGATCAATACCTCCATTATATTTAAGTGCGCTTCAGCTCCAATGAGTCTCTTCTTCTCAAGGGAGACCCGGGGTAAATTACAGGCAGATGGAAAATATTACAGAGGGGGAGAGAAAAAAAAAGACATGTCTGATTTAACGGTGGTGAATGACAACAATGAACACGGGGAACAGAGTCCAGTACGGATCATAAGCGATCACATAGCCCGAGGTGAAGCTATGTAGGAGTTGAAAAGCAGCTGACCGCTTCCCTCCCTCGGTTAACATCTCGTTCTAACAAGCGAGAGATTCTCGTGCGCACGTGACTCTGCTGCATATCGTTGAGCATCTTATTTTCTGAGCCACAATTTTCCCGCTGTTGGCGACATCCGTTATATACCAGTATAGCCCCGTCTTTTAAGTCTGGTTGGTTCGGCCCTGACGTCAGGGTCATGCGCGTAATAATTTTTTTGTTTAAATGGTCCTTGTCCTGCCTCCGCCATCCAAATGTTTATCCAGTATCGGGCACGTGATGATAACAAGGCCGGGTCTGTGTCCCTGGTGATTTCCACGAGGTTTTGCCTGGCGGCGCTGGCTATGCACGCGAGCTGCAGTCCTCCAGTTTCCCCTGCACATTTAGAATCAAGGGGGGCCGTCCATAAATGACGCACCTAGGGGGTGGGCGGGGCGGGGGGGGTCAGACATTTGTGGCGATGTGTGACGAGGTGGGGGGTTGAGAAATGTGAAGTCACATCAACATGCGCAACTTTAAATGAACGTAGACAACTCGTTCTACTGAATTAAATAGACTTTTTAATAAACGTTTTCTCCTACAACATCAGAGTGCAGCGCCACATTAAAT